GGCCAGCCTCCTCCTCGGCAACTTCTCCTTCCTGGCTGGTGCTGGTGCCAGTATTGCTTACCTTAATGTAGTTTGTACTGCTATCCTTCTATTGAATCGACTCTCAGACCCATCTTGGCCCCCCTCTGGCCAACGCCTTCGGCCGTTCCCGTATTGGTTCCCTCACCATCATCGTCGGCACTATCATCCTCTACTGGCTGATTATGTCCCTTATGTGGTGATGGTGACCTCCATAATGGCAGTAGGTCGTCACATTCGTCGTCGTTTCTCCTCCCAGATCACCAGTGATATTTGTTTGCTTCCTCACGGCAACTTGCGTTCTCAATTGTCTCCTAATGAGAGGTTCATGCTAGTTTTCCAAACCCAGTCCGCTGAGAGGCATGCCTGATCGTCGAGCTTTATCGACTCTCGCTTCCCCCAGTTCAAAATCATTCTCGCTTAAGAAGCATTCCAATCAGCCCTCTCAGTACCCGGGGTCTCCCCTGGGTCTCCCCTAACTACCAGTGGAAACTATTGAACCGAAGAATTAATGGAATAGCGCGAACAGATCTGCCTCGACGTTGGCGGCAAAGTTCGAGTGTATCGTGTTGGTGGATCGAGCCGTTGTATTCGGCTGCGCATTTATGAATGACTCGGAGGCTGCACGACTAGGATAAAGAGCAATCACGGAACGCAGCAGATACAGGTAGCCGATTCCGTTCAAGGCAGCCACATGAGATAAATATCTTGATGCTTGAAAGGCGGACATCTCTCCCAAATGGAGCATGTGCACGTAACTGATGTGAGGATGTTTTGATAATCCTACGGATGTGCAGTTGATAGCGCGTCGAACGGCTAGATTTGCACAGGCCCAAGGTTGTCCTTAAATGGAAGGTGATGGCAGGGTCGACCACGATTCGGTTCACTGAGGGGGTTCCTGCAGTATGCAACACTTGATCATTCTCATCTGTTTTTCATTCGAGCCTGTTGTTCTGTGCTCGGTCCGTCGAGATGAGTTTAAACGTTGAGCACCATTTTGTTAATCTGGAAACGCTGCCTAACCTATCGTAGCGTTGGGTAAATCCCTCATTCATATTTCCGAATATAACTGTTGGGTTGCTAGTTTTACTGTCGGAAAATGAGCGAACAAAGGGACCGCTGTCACCAATAAATAAACGAGGTTGGGCCATGGGACGGCGATGCAACTTCCAAGGTAAGATTATTACACCCTCTAGTGAAAGACGTCGTTCCCCGAGTTTTATAAACCACAGTTCAATTGAACTAGTGTAACACAATTCAATAATGAATGCCGATTGTCAGTGTGGCGTTAAGAAACTGACCTCACGTATAGTGTAACTCTTCCAATACAATAAGTCATCTACGCCTGACCATATGTCTTCACATCGGCACCATCAGCCACAACCAATCCAGTGGCATCATTCAACCACGCCAGAGCACTGCCAGTAGCATCGAAGTAAGCCACTTCAGAGAGGGAGGTTTTGCCATGGAAGTGATACACGTCGGCGCCCTTCACTGATCCTGCATGGAAGAAAATGACACGTCCCATTCCCCTTTCAATTCAATCTTACCAGCGGCCAAGTAGTGGCCACTATGATCGAAACTGAGATCTTCTACCGGTCCAGCAGCGGTAAGCGTGGCAAAATCGGTGGCCTTCCGGAGATCCCACAGTTTGATCTCGCCATCCTTGGTACCTAAGGAAGGTTCCTCATGCCCCCTATCATATCCAAAGGATGGTATTACCAGTCGCCATGTGATACCCATTCTCACTGAAAGCGAGGGCAGTGACGTTAGCATGAGGCATCTTAGCGCTGGTAACCTGACATGGAGTATCACGTTCGACCTTGAACTAGTCGCTACTACCTCAGCCTTCTGTTGGAGACTATAGACACTGACACAGCCAGTCTTGTCATTGTAGTAGGCGAAGAGGCTTCCATCAGGATGCATGCCGAACGCTTGGCCCGTAGCGGACGTATTATCTGCGAGAGTAATAACCAATTACCAGCGAAAAAGAGACTTACTCATATCGATCAGGTGACTCAAGCCCTCATTCCTGTCGAGTCTCAAGATAGCCCATTTTCCCGAGTCAGTGGCGGCAACCAGAGCCTCGCCGGTAGGATGCCAGTCCAGGTAAGTAATAGGAGAACCCAAAGCCACGGCGTTGCCAACAGCGATGTGCTCGCACTGACACATACAGAGATGCCACTGAGTTGATGA